CCAAAAAAAACAGCTTCTCATTGCCTTCCCGTACAGTAGTAACATAACAATTTTTATTTTTTTTAGAAAAAATAGAAGTAAATACTAAATACAAAACCACTATCTCCTGTACGGAGATGTTATAGTTCTGTTACGAAACCATTTCGTCGAGGTTTGTAACTGTTAGATCATGTAACCGTCGGGGATAGTTGATATGTTACAAACCCCGACGGAATAGTTCTATAACGAGACTATAACATTTCCCCTTCCGTAATAACTTCAGAAATTTCACAAAAAAGGAAAAAAAAAAAAGAGGTATTTAATTTTCGGGTTCCTCAGGCACTTTAGAAACCATACGCAGCCCACTCTTTGGCACAGAAAACCACTAGACCTATTTTATATAATCCGCGGGCCCGTACCATTAAATTACTCGAAAACAGGCCCACAGAAACACATTTATTTATAAATTTATCTTTAAATAAATTTATCCTCACTCCCCTCTATATATAGACAGTAACTCCACTCCAACGCATTATCAAGTTCAAGACTATTGTCCTCTGTTTGTACTCTCAAAAAGACTCAAAAAGAACGAATACTATCAATGGCTTTTATGATCTCCCAAAACCAGCCTTCTTTCTCAGACGAAGCAGAAAAGATCATTAGCAGCAAAGAGGAAAGTGAGCGCAAAGGTTCGATTTCCAGTCAGCTTTTGCTGAAATCGTCGTCTCAAAGTCTCGACAAAAGTGAGGTGCTCAGGCGAATCCGGCACCACAAGGCAATGAACAAGGTTAAGAATACTCTCCGGGCTTTGTCACGACCCGATTCAGATGATTATTATTCGGACGAATTTCATCAACACAAATGGCTTCAACAAGGAGACTGTTTCACCTCCCCATGAAAACACAGTGCGATGCATATCAAGTGGAAAAAGCAGCTAATGTGTGTGTGTGTGTATATATATATGAAACAATGGGCAAGTTTGTAGCAGTGTTGTCTGTTTAGAGTACACTAGAAAGACTTGGGGAATATTAGGAGTGCAAAATAGGTTTATTGTACTTGGTGATTCAGTATCGTGTTTTCGTATTATTTCTTCTATTTCATTTAATCTACGACTACAAGTTAAAATTTAACAAAAAATTTTAGTGTTATTTGTTTGATATGTGAATATCAAGAAGATAGTTTAAGGAGTGTGGAGAAAATAGAAACAAAAAATTAAAGTCGACACACGTAATAGTTAGGTTCTTCGCAAGATGAAATTGCCTCTGTAAAAACACACGGTTAATGTCACACGTCTTCAAGATATAACGATTTTTGACTTGCATATATAATGGCAATTCAAAGATATAAGTCTTCGGTGTATAACACACTATTGTTTGAAACTCTCAAGACCCAGCGGAAATCAAACAACACAATATGATATATGAACTTTGGAACATAGTATTTTGGATGATTCATGTATGTAGGTATAAATGTAGGAAATCACCTTGAGGAGTTAAAAGTTTCAAAAGAAACTTTCTGGGACGTGTTCGAAAGAGAACGAATGTGTTTGAAAGCTAAAAGACACATTATAGTCAACGGAAGTCAGCGGGTCACGAGTGCGATCGACAACCAAAGCTAGTCATGGCTGCGAGTTGGCTTTATGCGCTTTCACATGCCTCGAAAAACCGGCTATGCGACTGTGCGCCACGAACCCATACTCGCTCATCCGGACTCCAAATCATGCCCGATTTTTCCTACTCGTCCTTGATAAACTCTATCAGAGTTATAACATGCTTATACATTAATATATATCGTTTGATTTGTCCAAACATTCGACAAAACCCAAACGTTTTGCAGATTCAATAATTTTTTAGTTATTTGAATTCAATTGTTTCAATATTATATTTCCTTAATACACTATCTATAATTAATTTCTCATTCATTTGAAAAAAAAAAAATTGAAATTTTTTTAAGCCTACCATTTACAAAATATGAAAATGATAAAATAGATATAAAATGGAGCTAGCGGTTGACTTCATAGCAAGACCATAAAAATTTAAAACCATTTTTTCTTACATTTTTGTTTTTCGTGTCTTACTAATACAACACCCGTGTATTACACGGGTGCTTGTTAAAAAATTATTCTTAAATTTTAAAATTAATGAGAAAATTATATTAAATTTAGTTTACTTTTTTACAACAAAAAATATACTATATATTTTAAAATGATATGTGTTATACTTATGACTTACATGTGTTATATTATATTAATTTTATAACTTATATCATATAACTACTTGAAATATAAATATATTAGTTGATAAATAAAAATAATATTAAAAATAATTTTATTAAAAATAATTTTAATATTTATTTTTCTAATTAATATTAAAAATAATTTTATTATTGCATATTGTTATAAAGATAAATATAAATTATTTTTTTATACATACAATTGGATGTTAAATCGAAGCTCATCAAAAGAAGATTAATTTGATATATCCTCCCTATATATAATTCCCGAATGCGCTGAGCCTACGTGGCTGCTTCTGGTGCTTCGGAATCCTATTTGGCGAAGAATCATGCTTCGTAATTAGGTTTGGATAAATAATATTGATATATTAATAATTAATAGTCTAGGTTCGGGTATTCCATAAATATTATTTAGCTAACTTAGGTATTTTAATATCACTTTTACTAATATAACCTTTTAATTCTTTGTAATTTTACATAGTGAGGCACTAAGTGACTAATATATCCCTGAATTTTGATTTGTTTCCTTCAATAAGCTATTGAATTATAAATGTATTTTAAAATTTGATAACTTTTATCGGTTTTACATATATAATATATCAAATTAATCATCTTTTGATGATCTTCGATTTGACATCCATATTGTATATATGAAATAAATAAATTACATTTATCTTTACAATAATAAAAAAATAATAATATTTATTAAAATTCATTAGAAAAATAAAATTATTTCTCAATTGATATATTTATATGTAATATAGTTATATATTGTAAGTTAAAAAAATTAGTATAATATAACACAAGTAAGTTGCACAAATAAAAAGTGTCATAATAAATATATAATAATATATATATTCTTGTAAAAGGTATTTAAATTTTCAAACTACTTTTTCTCATTAATTTTAGATTTTAAAAAAAAATTATCAAGCACCCGTGTAATACACGGGTGTTGTACTAGTTACATATGTAAATCTGATAAAAAATACCAAAGTTATTAACTTTTAAAATACATATACAATTCAATATTTATAATAAGGAATGATATTAAAATGTAATTAATGCATGTAACATGACCATAAATAATCAACATATTTATGGTAATCCGAACCTAATTATTTTTTGTTTGAAATTAAATTAAAAAACATCAAGGATTTTAGGTTAGTTCATTGTTTATTGTGTCACTTGTCTCTACATTCAATCATGTCATACTATCATGTCAGTCATCGTTAATTTCGACTTTGCTTGAATCATTATGCTATCATGACGAATTTCACTATGTCCCTTATATAAACTACCGTAATAATTGCGTTGTTTTTCTTACGTGGAAAACCACATTTTATAATGAGATGCAGAATTTTTTACCATAAAATTATAAAAAAGTTAAGTTGTGGAAAAAAAAAATACACAAACAAATGAGAGTGGACCATAATAAAAAGCTCGTATTCAATGAATACGTTTTACCATTTTTTTAATTGTAAAACGTATTCATTGAATACGTTTTCT